GCTTCTTCCATGCTGAATAAGGATGCAGATGCAGGCAATCGGAGTATCCCTTCAGTGGGTCTATCTAAAAGACTCCCAAATTGCATAAGTCTTGTCTCTAAGGGGAAAAGAAAGCCCTTGAATCATGAATAGGAGATGTGAAGAAGTAAAGTTAAAAGTAGCAAAATATAAAACATTCTTCTTTACGTTTCATGGAGCTACAGAGAGTTGAACTGTGATGTTATGCATTTTAATTTTTCATTTTAAAATTTCTTTTTATGTGTATGAGTGTTTTGCCTGCATATGTGTAAGTGTGCAGGAGACAAGATTGAGCCTAGAGTGAATGTCTTAATGACAGCCATACAGCAGGCCCAAGGCAACAGCCTGACTGCTGGAGCCACAAGGAACTCCTTGTGACATTTGCTCCCATTGGCAGATCATGAGACTGATGCCTGGAGCTTGGCACTCCCTAATCACCACCCTTGAGATCCCAAATTGCAACACTTAGACAGCCTGGGTCACGTGGTTCCCAGGAAACCAGGCCTTATAAGGAAACCAGAACCTAAGTAACCTGAAACCCATTATGCTAATGAGGTGTCTGGCTCACCCATGTCATGATAGGACACAGACCTGCCAAAGATCTAAGTTGTAACTTCTTGATTGGACCCCACCCCTGTATAAACTTGTGCCCTTCTACAATAAACCGGATCTGCATCAACGAACCTGGTCTCCTGTGTCTGAATGCGGCTCTGCTGACACAGCCTCCTCACCAGCCCTGGGGTCCGAGAGCGACAATTGGAGGCAGCCCACAGCGAGCAGAAGAGCTGCCTCAGCGCAGCAACAAGTGAAAGAGCGACCACAGTTTGTGGCCGCAGCGAGGAGCGAAGGGCAGTGCCAATGTGATCAGGGGCGGCGCCCAGAAGGCGAGGCTCCTGCAATTGCAGGTGGTGCCCGTGTGAGCGGCGGAGGGGCGCCTAGAGACAGCATCCAGCACCAGAAGAGTGGAGGGGCGGCTGCAGCTGGCGACAGCTGCATAAGTGCACTAAGTAGTGCCTGAGTGGCCAGAAGAGATATTGAATCCCCTGGAACTAGAGTTATAGATGGTTGTTAGCAGCCCTGTGAGTGCTGAGAACCAAATGTGGATCCTCTGCAAGACAGTGGTCTTAACCACTGAGCCATCTCTCCAGGCCCAATTTTTCATTTTTAAATAGCAAAATAATATATACTTGTTGCCAGAAATAAAATATTCAGCAGCACATTGATTAAAAATGAAAACTTTCATTTACCTCATCCTTTAATCTCATTATCTAATTATTATTATTATTATTTGTCATGACAAGCTTATTTGAATTTTTTTTTTTTTTGGTCTTTTTGAGACAGGGTCTCCCTGTCATCCCAGCTGGCCTGGAACTGGCTATGTGGTCTCGGCTGGACTTAAACTCTCAGAGATCCGCCTGCCTCTGCCTCACAAGTAAATATACGTAAATATATAAAGATGTTTAATCTGAGACAGGATCTTTTGGTGTAACCCAAGTTGGCCTTTAACTCTCAATCCTTCTGCCTTGGCCTCCCACATGCTATGATTACATGTGTGTACCTCTGCACTTGGCTATGAGGGATTTCTTAAAAAGTTAATTGCCATCATAGAATACATATTGTGCTTATTCGGTTAAAAACATCCTTAGAGTGTCTAGGAAGGTGATTCAGTGGGTAACATTGCTTGCTCTACAAAGACAAGGACTTAAGTTTGAATCTCCAGCAACCATGTAGAAAGCCAGGCATAGTTTCTTGTGCCTGCTGATGCCAACATTATGGGGGACAGAGAAGCAGATCCTGAGAGCTTGTGGGCTTGCCAGCCTAGCCCAAAAGGTGAGCTTTGGGTTCAGAGAGATCCTGTCTAAAGTCAGTAAGGTGGGAATAAGGGAAAGATACTCCACATCCTACTGGGCCTCTGAATAGCACACATGGATGTATGTACCTGCATATCCCACATGTGTGAAATACCTCCCAACACACAGACACACACACAGACACACACAAGAACAAAAGATAAAATCTTTAAAAACCCTTAACTATGTCACTGTTAGTTCAAAATCTCCAGTGTTTTATAGAAAGTATGTATTCTAATTTATTTAGATACCTTCCCATTTTGTTCTGTAATAAATGTGATAGGATATTGAGTGGGAGTTTCCCCAAACTCCTACTGTGGCTGGAAGCTAGGAACAGAAGTACCAAGTATGAGAGTCCTGTGTTTGAGTGTGTCCCCCAGCTGTGAGAACTACCCTTTTCCTGTGGGGCTTATTGAAAAGTATGAGAATTGTTTACCCTCTCACCTCCAGGCTTTGTACAAAGATACCTGAGAAGTTGGGACATTTTTAAAAATATTTTTTTATTATTTTTATTTTATGTGTATGAGTATATTGCCTATATATATGTAAGTGCACCTGTGGACATTAGAAGAGGGTGACAGATCCCTTGGAACTGGAATTATGGACAATTGTCAGCCACCACATGGGTGATAGTAAGTGAACCCAGATCCTCTGCAAGAGAAGCCAGTGCTTTTAGCCACTGAGCCATCTATCCAGCCTCAAGAAGTTGGGAAATTTTAAGGCATAGAAGAATGCAGTGTTTCTGAGAAATTGCTTCCTCCTTTTCTAAAAATGGAGAAGTACACCAGGCGTGGTGGCACACGCCTTTAATCCCAGCAATCCGGAGGCAGAGGCAGGCAGATCTCTGTGAGTTCAAGGCCAGCTGGGGCTACAGGGAGACCCTGTCTCAAAAATACCCCCCCCCAAAAAATGGAGAAGTACTTGTGGACTCTAAAAGACTCTAGGAACAAGAATCTAGCACTTTATTGGATATTTGCTTAGATCCTGGACTTACTGACTTACCCATTGATGAATAAGAATAAAGGAAATAGAGGAGAGCTGTCTCAGTGGGGGGATTCAGTTGAGCTGGTAGGTCAGTATTTCTCAGTTCCTGTCAAGACTTCTGGTTGCTGGCCTGAGCCAAGTGGCCCTGAGTGGATTTGGATGAAATTGGGTAGCAGTTGAGAAGCATGGTGTATAGTAGAGTGTATATTTAGAGGGATGCAGTATAAATTCTGCCATCCCAGGGTAAGTTACAAGAGATAGCCAAGTGACTGCTTTTCCCTAGATTATCTGTTGTTGTATAGAGCCACAATAAGACCTAGAGCTTAATTTAGAAGGTGATCAATCAGTGTGAATAATGTTTTAAAGTTATACACTATTTCTTTTAAAAATAATAAAACATTGGACCTGGAGAGATGGCAGAGTGGTTAGGAGCACTGGCTGCTCTTGCAGATGACCTGGGTTCGATTCCCAGCACTCACATGGTGGCTAAAAACCATCCACTTCCAGGGGATTCGATGCCCTCTTCTGACCTCCGTGGGCATTGCATGACATGGGTACACTTACATACATGCAGGCAATATACTCATACACATCAGATAAAAATAATAGATAAAACATTTTAAAAATGGTAAATGAAGAATCGTGTAGTCAATCCAAAGAAGTCATGTGAATAATGTGTTAAGAAATTTGAGCTATTATATCCAGTCACATTAAAACCAACTTTTGCCAAATGGCAACCAACATACCTGTGTCCTTTCTTATACATGGAGATCAGTATTCCTGTGTTTCTAGTTGTGGTCTTCACATCCTCCATACGGCTACCTGGGAACTCATGTTTAAATGGCCTTTTTCATAAATATTTTTTTTGAAAATTTCATATGAGCACATTTTGATCATATCCACCCTTCCCCCACCAACTCCTGTGCCCCCCATACCTGACTTCTCAAATTCGTATTCTCTTACATTATTCTTCCATTATTATGATTGTATATATAACTTACTGAGTCCAGTTAGTGTTGTCCATATGTACGTGGGTATTGAGCTGAACACTGGGACGTGAGCAGCCTACCAGGGGGCTTGTCCTGAAGAAAACCAACTCCCTCCTTCAGTAAGCCATCTCCTGCCTATAGGTCCTCAACTAGGGGTGGGTCCTTTTGAGCCCTTCTTCTGCGCATGCTGAGGTCTTGACTGGTGTGGTCTTCAGCAAGACTTGTGTAGGCACCCATGGCATTGAGAGTTCATGGGTACACCATTCCTATCATATCTGAAAGATACTGTTTTGCCACAGTCCTCCCAGTTCTCTGGCTCTTACAGTATTTCAACCCTCTCTTACTGGGTATTCCCTGAGCCTTGGATGTAAGTTTGTGTAATAGACTGTTTGAGGATGAACACTCCACAGTCACTCATTCTCTGCACTTTGACCAGTTATGGTTCTCTGTAATAACCTTTCCACTGCAAAAAAATGCTTCTTTGAAGAGGGGTGGGAACTTTACTAATGTATAGGTATGAGGATCAGTATTTGAAGGCAGTTTGACATTCTATCACTTTAACAAAATGGTCATATTAGATTCTCCTGTAGGGTTTAATTAGTTAAGCTGAAGCTTTTATTCAGACCATCTCAAAAGAAACTTGCTTTCTTTTCTAATTGGTTATAGCATACCCTCACGCAAATTTCTCTGTAAATGTGGAACAGTTTTTATCATTCTGCCACAGGAAAACTGTATTATGATTGTATTATGATACAGTAGAAATAAGTATTACAGCAATTTTTAAGAAATTTTAAGGATTTGTGGGCAGCACTAAAAAATTATAAGGACTGTTAAATAGAGACATTTAAGAGCTATTTGAGAAAGAGTATATAGAAATGAAATAAAATGCTTTGTGTTTTATTTGAGTGTTTTCTGGTTATATTTCACTAAATGTTTGATTGGTTGTAAAGGTTTATAGCAGTTGTAAATTGATGATGTAATAACTGCAAATTGCTTAAGAGTTTCTAAACTAAAAACAGAAAATAGTGGTATCTTTAGTAACTTTAAAATAAGAAGCTTGAAATTTTATGTATTTTCACATCTTGGATCTTACATTTTTGTCCTCTTTATGAATTTCTTTTTAAAATTTTGCTTTATTCATGTTTTTCTGAATTGCTAGAAAGTACCAGAATCATCTCCTCCAATCACACTAAGTGACATAGATATGGGTACTGTGAAGACTCATACACAGAGCAACTGCATTCCCATAGAGGAACTTGGTGAGGCTTCTAAACAGAAAATCATCATTAACACAACAGCAAATACAGAGGAGACAGTGCGCTGTTCTGAGAGTCCTTCAAATGTCCCAAGCACGTCATTCCCTGAGAAGTCTCAAGGATCCCATCCTGAGTGCAGCTCTGACCCCTCCAGTCCTGACACTCTGCTCACTGACACAAATGATTCACTTCTTGGAGGCTAAGAGGAAAACAAGGTCAAGAGGACAGTCTGCATGTATGGGGCAAACTGCTACAGGTAAAATGGGATGGCAGGTACCATAGAAGTCCATTATTTCAATCACGTTACTGTAGAGATCTGTGCTATGGTGTATTAAAACCTAGTAAAACCCATTGCCTTAAAGTTAAGTGCTGCACTGTGTTTCTACTGGGTTTCACTTTCCCAGTGTGCATTCTGGCAAATGCTGCCAGAAGCTCTTAAGATACAATGGGGAATTAAATGTTTTATGTATAGACATATTGACTAGTGAAGGGTCTGAAATACTTGGGAATCTAGACTTAAACATTGAATCACCCACACTTAAATACCTGCTTTTTTAGTATCCTCGTTTTAAAGAGGTGCATTCAAAAATAATGTACACAGTCTATTAAGATAATTTTGGATTGTGTTTAGACATGGTATATTTATATATTTTATTTATATATTTCCTTCACATTTTTCTATGAAAATAGAAAATTTTCTACATTGAAAGTTAAAGTATTCCAATACTGATCTTAGTTTCAGACCATGGTGTGATCTGAAATGTTTATAGTAGTGTGGACATTGTCATGCAGTCCTGTGTCCATTGTTATTCATCCAAGCTTATGAACTGGATCTTTATAGTGCATTCTAGTACAATGCCTTTTGTGTATACAGTGTACTTACATTATACATTCTGTTCTCTACACATTCTAATTATTCCTCTTTAAAATATATTGTCATGAGGTATTGTGGTGCACACCTTTAATCCAGGCAGAGGCAAGCTGATCTTTCTGAATTCAAGGCCAGCCTGGTCTACATAGTGAGTTCTGGGCCAGCTGGGGCTACAGGGAGATTTTTATATATATGTATGGAGACTTTGTCTCAAAAAGACTATCTATCTATCTATCTGTCTGTCTGTCTGTCTGTCTGTCTGTCTGTCTATCTATCTATCTATCTATCTATATCAATCATCATCTATCTAGAATCATATATATATTTATATATAGTCACTTTAGAACTTGACTGTATTTTTCAGTCTTAACACTTTTGATTTTTAAATTTGTACACAACTTTGCCTGTGAAATGTATGTAGCCTAAGAAGATAATATAAAAACCTACAGCAAATTATAAACCACTTATTACTTTCAACTTTGAAAACTTCATTTTGTGCTTGTGTTAGCTAAGGTAGCCATAAGAAAATAGCACATATTGGCTTACTTTAATGACAGAAATTTATCTCCTCTTCATACTAGTTGCTGGAAAAGCTGGATCCCAGTTTCTGACTTTGCCTGAGGCCACTCTTCTTGTCTTGAAGGTGGCTGTCTCTGTGCATCTTCACATGGCCTCTTTAGTGTGCAGCATCTTCCTGGTCTCTCTTCCTCACCTTTGGAAGACACCAGTCATGTGTGAGGACCCCAACACTATGACCTCATTCCACCATAACTCTCTCTTTCATCACCTTGTCTCCAAATACAGGATACTGGCGATTAGCACTTCCATCATAGAAAATTTGAGGGGGACACAGTTCAATGAATAGCGGTATTCAGTGCTGTCATTTCCTTTTGTGAACAAGTGACTAAATATTTATCAAGATTATGTTCATTTTACTCATTCATATTTTATAGTGATGCTAGTTTTTACTGAATTTTTTTGTATTTCATACAGAACATCTCAAATACTCTTAATTATCTTTATACCCCTGTCCCACCGGCACCCTCCCATGGCCTGCCTACTGGAGCTCATCTACTGTGTCATCCCTGTTAAGGCCCATTGTGTCAAGTCCATGTCCCTAGACATTCCCCAGTGCAAGTCCATCCACTGAGGTCTAGTCAGCCTATCTAGAGTCCTTCGTTGCCAGTATTTCTTCAGATAATATTGTGGGCTGCTGTCATTTTCCCAGTTCTATCCCGGGTTTTTGTCTTCGTGGGACTTGTGTATGCTGACACCATTGCCATAGAATCATATGAGCAGGTTCCCAGGAGCTTGAAGGACTCTGTTTCCTGCACTTCCTCCCTGGCTCTTACAATCTTTCTGCCCCCTCTTCCACAGTGGTGTCCCTGAGCCTTGGGTGGGTAAAGTTTAATAAAGAAGTCCTGTCCAAGCACCAGCATTCAGCAGACTCTGATTTCTATGCTTTGGCCATTTGTGACCTTTTGTGTTCCTGGCCCTCCACTACATGAGGGAGCTTCATTAATGAGAACTGAGAGATTCATTAGTGTCCTCTTCTTTACCTTGTTCTATGTTCCATGAGCCTTAGATGTAGAAGTTGCATTGTAGGTATGTCAATTAGGCCTGGGAAATTCATAAACTATGGCCCCGTGTGACCAGTTGTGTTATTTGGTAATAGTCTCCAACTGGTGCAAAATGAGCTTCTTTGATAAGTGGTGACTGGGATATTTGTAAAAATAAGGATACATATTTTTCACATAGTAGTACATCATACTAGTCTAGTGATGTGACAGTCTTGGGTTTTTCTGTAAGATCTATGACCACTCCAGCCATGTGTATTGGACTATGTTTACAGTATCTGACTTGAGTTTCCTCTCATTGAATGGGCTTTTAGTCCAGTTAGGTAGCTGTTGATTGTCTCCCAGATAAAAGTGACATTACTCTATCAAAGTTGTATGTTGTGCTGGCCTTTGATGTGGTTATTTGATCTTGAAGCTGGTGTTGGACCATCGATTGGTGTTTTCCCTTTTCATTTTCATCATGCTCTCCAAAGCTATGAGAGCTAACCTTCAGGGGAAGTGGTTTCAGGTCAGATGCAGCTCTATTTCTCCAAATCTTGTGTCCAAAGTATGTTCTGTCTGGAGCAGTAGGGTCTTACCTTCAAGTTCTGGGAGGCCATCAAGGCCTGTGACATATTATAGTAAAAACACTAAACATACAGAATAAATAGTACTGAAAGCTGCAGAAGAAATACAAGTGACATATAAAGGAAAACCCATGAGAATTACAGTTGACTTTTCAGTGCAAACTATGAAAGCCAGAAGAGCCTGGACCAAAGTATTCCCAGTTCTAAATCACCATAGATGCCAACCCAGAATACTTTACCCAGCAAAAATGTCTACTACAGTTGAAGGGGAAAGAAAAATCTTCCACAACAGGAATAGGCTGAAAGAATACTTGTCCACAAAACCAGCCCTTCAACAAATACTTGAAGCAATACAAAAAATGTAGAAAGGAACAACTATATCCAAGGGGTAACAGAGAGAAACTAAATGAAGGTATAATTGCATAAACACAAAGTTAAATGAATGCAAACAGTATCAAAATGAAGGCAACCAATGTATGTCTTTCAATAGTAACTTTAAATATCAATGGGCTGAACTCCACAGTCAAAACACACAGGCTGATTGAATGAATTAAGAAACAAAACCCATCCTTTTGTTGTCTGCAGGAAGCCCATCTCACCTTCAAGGGCAAGCACTACCTTGAGGTGAAGGGATGGAAAAGAATATTCCAAGCAAATGGCACTAAGGAACAAACAGGGGCAGCAGTTCTAATAGCTGACAAAATAGACTTCAAACTAAAACTAATCAGACATAATAAAGAAGATCACTTCATTCTGAGCAAAGAAACAATTGACCAAGAAGATATTACAATCATGAACATATAGGCACCAAACTCCGGTGCACCCAGCTTCATAAAAACAGCACTACAGGACTTTAAGATGCATTAACCCCAACTCAGTAATACTAGGGGACTTCAGTACCCTACTGTCTCCATTAGACAACTGGAGACAGTGGACAGCCTTGCCTGGTTCCTGATTTTAATGGTTCCTCATTTGGCCAACTGAACAAAGAATAAACAGATATCTGAATTAAATGATACTATACATTAAATGGACCTAACAGACATCTACCAAATATTCTACCCAAGCACCAAAGAATACACTTTCTATTCAGCACCCAATGGAACTTTCTTAAGAATTGACCACATACTGGGGCACAAAACAAACCTCAACAAATACAAAACAACTGAAATAATTCCATGCATTCTATCAGACCACAATGCAATAAAGCTTAAAATCAATGGTGGAAGAAGCCCTAGTAACTACAGGAACCCATAGAGATTAAACAACACATTCCTGAATTATGAGTGGGTTAAAGAGTAAATTAAGAAAGAGAAGTATTCCTGGACTTCAATGAAAAAGACAATACAACACAACAAAACTTCTGGGACACTTAAGCAGTCCTAAGAGGGAAGTTTATAGCTCTAGGTGCCTACATTAAAAAATAAGAAAGCACAAATAAGTGACTCAAGACTGGAAAGGCAAGAATAAATGAAACCTAAACCCAGCAGAAGAGAAGAAATAACAAAAATCAGAGCAGAAATTAGTGAAATAGAAATAAAGTAATGCAAAGAATCAATGAATCTAAGAGCTGGATCTTTGAAAAGATAAACAAGATAGAGAGACCCTTAGCCCAGTTTACCAAAAGAAGGAAAGAGCAAACCGAAATCAACAAAATCAGAGATGAAAGGAGAAATATCATAACAGACACTCAGAAGATGCAGAACATTATAAGGGAATGCTTTAAAACCCTATACTCTATTAAAATTGAAAAAACTAAGCAAAATGGATGGCTATTTAAAATCATTGGGACTATCAAAGCTAAACCAAGAAGTGATGAACAGTTTAAACAGACCTATAACATATAAGGAAATTGAAACAGTAATGAAAAACTTTTAGATTAAATTTTTTTTAAAAAAGCCCAGGCCCAGATGGATTTACAGCAGAATTCTACCAGACATTTGAAGACTTCCAACTAATACTATTTATATTATTCAAAAAGATAGAAACAGAGAACCTCCAAATTCCTTTTATGAAGCTGGCATCATTCTAATACCAAAACCAGGTAAAGACACAACCAAAAAAGAAAACTATAGGGCCATATCCTTAATGAACATAGATGCAAAAATTCTCAGCAAAATACTTGCAAATTGCATACAGACCCACATGAAAAAAGATCATCCATAATAATCAAGTAGGCTTTATTCCAGAGATGCAGGGATAGTTCAATATTTGCAAGTTAATTAATGTCATAAATCATATG